CATCCAAAAAGAGCAAAAATTCTACCCCAAATATAACCTGCAAAACGGCAAGAAATAAAAAGATGAAGGGAAGATTCACCATCTAAATTGCACAAGACACATCTGTTTGGAGAGAGGCACCAGCCAGGTCTTTTCCTTTGCAGCAAATCGCAAGTGTTGATTGCACCATGGCAAACTTCCCAGCAAAAAACACTCACTTTTGGGGGAACAAGACGAATCCAGGCTTCCTTAACTAGGAAAAAGGCTGAAAGGGAGAGGGGTGGCCAAGGCTTCAAAAAAGGACAAGACACTAAAACCCCCAAGGGATTACCAGTCCACACCCGAGTGTCTACTCTAGTGTCGTTGAGGAACACCCCTTCCAGTAAAAGGAGATTGGACACATGAATCAATTCTAAATCTCTGGCATTTCTCCAGAAACCCAAATTCCACACACTCTAAAAGTGAAGGAGAAGGGAATAGGAAGTCAACAAAAGGTTTAACCTTGAGATAAAGCAAATGGAGAAGGAAATGTAGTCTTCAAGGGATTTTCACCCACCCAGAGATCTTCCCAGAATCTTACTTTATTTCCCAAGTTGAGGTCATACCTGATGTTATTGAGGACGAGCAGAAGGATCTCGTGGATTGCTTTCCACGATGCAGCTCTAGAAGCCCTGCTAGAGACCCCAGAATCCCACCCGTTCTTAGAGAGCCCATGAATGCTAGCTACCACTTTTGCCCAAAAAGTCTATTTGTCTCCCGTGGGAATCTCCACAACCATTTGCCTAATAATGCCCTATTTTTATCCTTAATCCTACTCAAACCCAAGCCACCATTCTTCTTCCCTCTACACACAATATCCCATCTAATGAGATGAACCCTCTTCTCCTCCCCTGGTTCCCACATAAAATCCCTCATGATCTTCTCTAATTTTTTGAATTTTGACAAAGAAGCAAGGCATTTCAAACACTGAGAGAAAATGAACCGGGAGGTTTGCTAAAGTAGATTTAATGAGAGTTATCCTACCCCATAATGAAATGTAGTTTCTCTTCCAAGTAGCGAGTTTCTTTTCAAATCTTTCCACTACCGGATCCCAAAAATTCAAAGATCTAGGGTTAGCACCAAGAGGGAGTTCTAAATATTTCAAAGGCTAGTTACGAGCCACACCTCAGTTCTCTAGTCCACATATCTATCTCCTCTTGACCCATGTCGACCCCTGCTACCACACTTTTGCTCAAATTTCCCTTTAAGATTGTCACCTTCTCAAAAAGCCTCACTAATAGCCTTAGGTCTCTAGCACTTTGATCTCCCTCAGCTTCACAGAAAATGATAATATCATCTACAAACTGTAAGTGGCTGACCACCACTTCCTCTCTTCCAAGGGTGGATTTGAGCCGAATCGAACCGAGTACTTGGCTATTTGAGCTCGGCTCACAGGAATAGTATCAAGCTTGAGCTCGGTTCATAGCTCGCAAGTTCGAGCTCGGCCCAACTCAAGTTCGACTATAAGCCAAGTTTTTTTTTGAAATGACAGGATTGTAGGCAACCTTTTATCCACTTGCACGATCTTCTTCCAAAACCACATTTCTCCATCACATCTAACAAAATTTCCTAGTCCACACAATCATAGGCTTTCTCCAGATCTAGTTTGCACACAATCCCTTTTTTTCCTGGACTTTCTAAGATCCTCCACACATTCATTTGCAATAAGAATCTGATCGGCAATTTGCCTTTCTTGAATGAAGGCCCCTGGACATGAGAGATAATCGACGGGAGGGCCTTCTTTAAGCGAAGGGATATGACTTTAGCTAAAATCTTGTATTGACTTGTCACAAAACTAATGGGCCTAAAATCCTTGGGGTGGCATGCATCCAATTTTTTCGGGATCAAGGCAAAAAAAGTAGCATTTACTCCCCTGTTGACAAACCCTCTGTGGTAGAACTCCTCAAAAACTCTCATGAGGTCTGTTTTTCATCACTCCCAGCAATCTTGGTAAAAAACCATAGTGTAACCATCTGGTCTCGGGGCTTTACAGCGATCCATAGAGAAAACAACTTCCTTAAGCTCCTCTTCTTCAAAGTTTCTTTCTAAATCACTCTATAAAGCATTCTCTAATAAAAGTCACTCCAAACCTTCTAGTTTCCACTTCTCTGTCACTGGCCTTTTATAGATCGATTTAAAGTGCTCCATTGTACCCCAACCCTTGAGAATGTCATCAACTAAGAAGTCCTTAAACCAGTAACCCCAATGGTTACTCCTTAGACTTCCTCCTTGGATCTTTCCATTCCTTTAAAGATCCTACTATTCCTTTCTTCCCAAACTGACACCAAAATAGCTGCTCTTATAGCTCTCTACATGACTCTTCCTCACTTCTTCAATTGCTTGAAGAAATTTGGGTCAAAGAGGCTCACCACATCTAGAGGAAGGGTTCACTTGCAACCAACAAGAGAAGAGAACTAAGACCAAATAAAAGACACAAATGGATAGGAGATTAATATGTGTGTGATTGTCTCACCAAACCCAAGAAAAAGCTACAAACATGGGGTGAAAGGCAATGGTTTGGCCTTTTTCTTTGAAGCATATCCAGAGTATTGATTCTTGGAGCACCAACGCCCAACAAAAGCAAAAAGCTCGTAGTTTTGGAGGTATAGGACTACACCATACCTCCTTTGTTGGAAAGTTCCCTGTCTGGTTAGAAGATTTGAAGGAGAACATTATAAAAGCCTAAAGGAGGAAGAATTGAAATATCTAGAAGGGGAAGGTGTCCAAATTATACTATCCATGCAAGACTGATTCAAGAAAATCAACATTAAAAGAGCAATAAGTTCATCAACATTATAAACCAAACAAATCACTTTTCTTTTGTTTTCAAAAAGGGAATAAATAGATGGGAACCTATCTTTAAAGGAGTTCTCCCCAAACTAGACATCTTCCCAAAACAAGACTTTGTTCCCTGCACCATAGTTTTCAAGGCACCAAGGCAAGGCTAGGCAACAGGAGGGCAAATTTTTTCAAGTAAAAAGCATATATCCTAGGATAGCTCCTAGGTACCATAACCGTATTTCCTTAATAATTATCCATAGTTTTCATAAGAAAAGGTATAAACTTCATGTTTAGTTAAAGAAAACCAACTTGCCGATCAAAAGAAAAATTATAGAAAACCAACATATTCATGATAAGTAAAAGAAAAAAGAAAAGAAATTTAAAAGATTATAGGGGCTGAACCCTTAATTTTGTTATAGGAAAAGAAAAAAACAAAAGGTGGAAGGAGGAGGAGAAGAAGCTATGGGAGAAGAAAATGTGTTGATTAGACAAAATTTTAAGCTCTTCCTTACTTATTGGTTCAGGTTTTGAAGTCGTTGAAGGTTCAATACAGCATTTAGCAATGTCTATGTTGATTAAATCCTAACAAATAAGAAAATAACAAAAAGAAATTAGTATATAAACACACAAAATGAACGTTTTAGTTGTATAATGTCTATTTTATAATTATAATCTCAAAAAATCAAGAATATAAAAGTAATTGCTTGGCAATTAGGTGAGGTGAGCCTCCAAGGGCACCTTGTCGCCTAGGTGCCTGCCTAGGCGTCACTTTGACAACTATGCCCTGCACATGCAACATATTTAAAATACAGAAGAAGGCAAAATACCATGAATAGCTTTCCAAGGAGAACAATGAAAAGCCTTAGGGTCAAGACCCACATCCCAACCATTGCCAATTCATGAAGCTTGCAATCACTCTATGCCAGAACCTATCCTATTCCAACGGTAATCTCCACTACCATTTCCCCAGTAAGGCTATATACCTTAACCTGATGTTCCCAATTCCTAGGCCTCCATCATCCCTATTTCTAGATACCACCTCCCATTCACCAAATGATCATTCTTGGTGCCTCCTCTCATAATCTTCTTTAATTAATTTGCCATTTTCAAAGGTACTTTGAAGGTAAATAAAATAAATTGGCAAATTAGCCAAAGTTAGCCAAAGTTGACTTAATTAGAGTTATTCTACCCCCCAAAGAAATGTAATTTATCTTCCAAGTGGCAAGCCTTTAGTAAATCTTTCCATCACTAGATACCGGAAGCTATCTATGTTTGGGTTTCCTCCAAAAGATCCCAAATATTGTAACAACCAATCCCCTAATTCACACCCCAACAAACTACCAAAGTTGTCTATCCTCTAAATTGGTTCACCAACCTCTTTAAATTCATTAGCTCTTCTGTTTCCCCTTCACAAAACTAAATGATATCATTTGTAAACTGCAAATGTGTAACCACCACTTCATCCCTCCTAACTCTCCAATCTCTAATCAAATTATTGGCATCTGCCCTTAATATCATTTCACTCAAAACATCAGCTACTAAGGTAGAAAGGAAGGGGGAAAATGGATCTCCCTGTCTAAAGTCCCTCTTAGCAAGAAAGAAATCCCTAGCTACTCCATTTACTAGAATAGAAGAATGACAAGAGAAAATACAGTCCTTCACCCATCTACACCATTTTGCTCCAAAGCCCCTAATTAAGAACTTCTAGAAGAAAATCCCAATCCACCATGTCAAAAGCCTTCTCCAAATCTAACTTACAAATCAGCCTCTCTCCTTCTTCCTTCTCCCATACTCCACAATGTAATACTTCACACATTCATCCATGTCACCTGCTTAGTTATTTGGAAGAACAGGTCTGTTTTATTTTGTTCTCTGCCAGTTAAAGATAAGGTTCCTTATCAATTAAAAAAACAGTAATATGCAACCCAGAGGGGACAGAAAACAGGTAGTTTCCTTTTTCATTAATGGAAAAAGAAGATGTACATTAGATGATCGAAATAGCAGTAAATATATAACCAGAAACGAGATGAATGTATGTGTTCATCCTAACAAGTCTCCGTTAGTAAAATAACAATAAAAGCACTATGAGATAACACTATGTCCCTACCAGAAGAAAAGACATTTTTACAAAATTGAAGTTAACTCTATGGTTTGTTAACTACATACTTAAATTTTAACAAATTAACAAGCAGCTTCTGTACCTGCTTTATGCATTTCAGAATTGCTTGGACTTTTGAGGGTTTAGGTTTCACAGCTTGATTTTCATCTTTTCCACTGCTTGGAGCCAAAAGAGGTGTCAAAGGAGAAGGGACTGGAGTTTCATCAGATGAATCTGCTAGCAAATTCCTTGAACTAGAAATTCCCTGCAATGACAACAACAACAACAATGGATGAGAATCAATTAATTCTCAGAGTGCAATGCCTTAACAAATAAACACCATAATGGTGATAAAGAAATTAAGAATAGACATACTTGGTGGATCCAGGCCTATCATCCAAGAGATAAGGGTGAGGTGGCTTCTGCCAGCCTCAACATGGTTGCTTGACATGCTTGTACATATTGAACTCTTTCATAATCTAATAAATTAATTTTACCAATAAAAAAGGTCTATCACCCTATAGATTATTATATAGGGCACCTGACACAAAGCCACAGCATTACATTGATCATAAGATCTCATCCTTTTTTTTGATGAATGAATCTCATCCTTCCAATCTAAAGGGCAGCCCAATGCACGAGGCTCCAATCAATACGGGGTCTGGGGAGGGAAAGATGTATGCACCCTTACCCCAGCATATACAAAGAGGCTGTTTCCAAGATTTGAACCCTGGTCACCCAGGTCGCAATGGAGCAACCCAACTGTAGCACCAAGGCCCACCCTCAATCTAAATATAGAAACTGAACCATTAAATTTACTTGGATAGAAAATTAGAATTGTCCATTTGGCATTCTGTTTTGTGCTATGCTCACCTAAATGGTAACTGATTGACAGTTGCTGTCAATTAGTTGGTCCATATTGGTTTAGTTGGCGAAGTTTTTCTAGAAGGGAAGAATCTCAGACAAATCATATTTTCTTTCAGGAAAAGAGTGATGCTACATGTATTTGCATATGGGATCAAATTTTTAAATGGTTTTAGACAACTGATGGCCTCAGGGGAGAGAACTACTGGAATGGAGAAAAATAACTTGCTTCCAACTGATCAGCAACTTCACATACAGAGGGAAGAAATTAGCATTACCAACTGTTTCAAATACTGATGAAAAGGTCTTGGAATACTTGTGGAAGGTAAATCCAATGTTCTCCGGAAAAAAGGAAGTTCACCTGCAATAAAAAATCCATGTAATTCAAGATGCAACAGTCAGTGCATGCATTCTAGTACCAAGGAAGGAGCATTTTTTTTCCTTTGGGGAAGTTCATGGCATCAATGAAAAGTGAACAAACAGTGAAAAGAGCATGAACCAACATTTGGAACAATTAAAGATTCAGAAGCAAAATGGATAATTTTTTCATTTCCTTAGATTATATATTATAATTGAACTATTAAAGCATTTACAAATCCCAACTGCCAGGACATATCCTGCTTCAACGCAAAAACTCCTTTCTTCTTTTCTTGCCTAAAAAAGGGCTCCATTCCTATTCCTCTCTGTTTTACTTATTCTGTAGTTATAATGAATTGATGTCTTCTATGTATTTGCATTATAGCATTTGGGTTCGGGTTGGCAAATTTGGGTGTAGGCCAGATCCAAACCCATCTGATTTGTACCCCTGCTTTATTGAGTTAAAAGGGGTCAATCGAGATTTAAGAGGAAAGAAGGGATTTAGTGGAGGAGGGGAAACTTTTTTTTATCAATAACAGAGCAATTTTATTAAATAAGGAAAATTAAGTACAAAGTTGAAGAAGGGGAGAGATAAATTCTCTTAGCCCTCCCGAAATAAGATTCAGTTTACAGCATAGCCCAAAATAAATTGTTCTTCCCCACCCCTTGTTAGCTAGTGCATCAGCAAAAGCATTGGCATCTCTTCTCACCCAATAGAATGTCACCTCCACTCCTTGTAATAGTCTCATGATTTTCCTTTTCTCATATATGTAGCACCACCATCCAGCCTCCTCTTCCTTTTGAAGCCAACTTATCACTAGCTTTGAGTTTCCCTCAATTGACAACTTTCGAAAATTCAACTCTTTTGCCTTTTGAATTCTTTCCAATAAAGCCAGAATTTCAGCCCTCAATGAATCACCTACCCAATTGGGCCTGAGTAGATCATGACAACTTTTCCCTCATTTCTAAAAACTCCCCCAAAGCCAAAAGGGCCCAGATTACCCTCACTGCTACAATCAAAATTGAACTTAATAAAATTAAGACTTAAGAGGGTTTCTATTGTAACTTCTTACATTTTTATAATTTTATTAAAAATAGAAAACCACATTGTGAAAAATGAGAGTAGAAAGAGCGTGTGAGCTCTGTGGTTAGAGGACCCCTCACCTACCATCTTTCCTCTTTCTAGTATAGATATAGATTGCCCATTTGGATTTTTTTATGAAATGAATTTATATGTCTTCTATGTACTTGCACAAAACAGTCCTTGGGGACTGGTTGAAATAAAAGAAAGAAAGAAAGGAAAAAAGAAAAGGCTAGAAAGTTGGATATTTTGTAAATCTAGCATTCATGTTCACATGGAGACAGGTACAAATGAAAACAGATGCTTACTTTTGCCACTTGCACTTCCTATAGGAAAACATAGAAGTCCTAATGTATTTTAGATGTTCAATTATGTCAATACTGCAAGGACAATTATGTCATACACGAATCTATGGAATGTCAGTGTCCAAACGGTAAGTGACATGGGCACTTCAATCCATTTAGAAAGAGTGCATTGCAAACTGTTCACTCAATCTGGAAACACTACTGCAGAGAAGGGTCCTGCAACTTTCACCTATAGGCATGGACACTTGGTCATTCCTAAAGATTCACCTGTGTTCTTAGGGGTTCCCAAAAGGCCCTTCAAATCCTAGAATGAATTCTGTCTAGTGGCAGCTCTAGCCCACAGGGAATTCAGTTTTCCCTTTTTATGTACAAAAGAATATTGTTTAGGTTTGATTTCAGCGTTGTGTAGGTGCAATCATTAACTTTGATGTTTTATTGATTTTTTTTTTGGAAAAGGTAAAGTAATTTTATTCAGAACAAGAGAACATACAAACAGAGATCAAGCCAAGGAAAGCAGCCTGAGAACAACACAAATTACAAGCTCCAACAGGACTGAGACTGAAATAAAATAGGCAAGTTCAGGTGCCTGAACTCCTCAGTAACAGACACCCAAGAGATCAACTTGCCCACTGCTCTCTGTACTAGGTCTACAAGACTTTTAACTCTATTACAGAAGATTCTATTGTTCCTTTCAGTCCAAATGGACCACAAAACTGCTGCAGGATTGGTCCTCCACACTAATTTTCCTCTCTTACTTGGGCCTTTTACTTTCCAGCAGCACAGAAGCTCCGACTGACCTAGGCATAACCCAGCTGATAAGAGCATATAAACTAAGTTGACCCATCCCTAAATTCCTCCTGAAAGATTTCATAGTAATTACTATGAGCACTGCTACAAATAATAAGTTGACCCGTCCCTAAATTCCTCCTGAAAGATTTTCCAACTCACCAAACAAGCAGAAATCTATTTCACCCAGTCAGCCAACAAAGCAATACTATCTCCCATTGCAACACATCTTTTCCACCTACTTTAACCAACTCTTTATCCTTCATCCCATCACCAGCACTGAGCTCGGGAACCCTAATTGTCCTTACCTCTCTCCAATTACAAGTCCTTTATGAAGTTTGGAGCTTTGAGATGAAAGTGATGGACCTCAGATGTTCTTTACATTTAAGTGGTGCATTTTACCTAATTTTGATTTGTAATTGCAGCGATTTCAAATCTACTTCAAGATTGAGGCTAGACCTCGATGTTCTATTTTTGGTTCTTGTATCTGAACTTTCTAATTGTGTGATCTAGCAGATTGTCTTCTACCTAAAGTATAGGGAGGGCTTTTTTTTACAGTGACAGATCCAACCATTCATAGTCTGCTTTGCCATATTCATAGGGAGAATTGTCTGTCCATAGCTAGTGCATTAGTGTACATTCTCTCATAGCCTCATGCACTTTCACAATTGTTTAAATATAATTATACAGTTACCTTTTCTTAAGGAAAAGTTAAAAGAGAGGAGGTCTGGTTAGTCATAAAACTTAAAAATATAGCATATGCAGTTTATTTCCAAACTTTCAGGGCAGGTGCTCATAGTAATTTTCCCAAAACAAAAAGAACTTCAGGGACCCTTGGATAGATGAGAAAACGTTAGGAGGGTGTGTATCAATACAACTTATGCTTGGTAAGCTGTTCAATCATAATTTCCAAAATTCAACCTAAAATTTTTCAAAGAAGACACAAGAAGATAACTAAAAAATTAAATTGACACATGCTGTATGGGGAAGTCCTTTGCTGCACCTGGCTGCTTTGGACCATAGGGGGTTTTAAAAAATCAAAACAATCACTCCAGTATTGGAAGAATCCTTTACCTACTGACTAGAAGAAGGCTATCTGGTAAAAGCCTCTAAAGGTGAGATTCATACCTTGCAAATAAGAGGAACCATGATAAGCGGTAGAGAAGCTGACAGATGAACCATGATTTTGATTCACTCTTCTGCCAATATGACGAAATATGGATTGTAAATGCCTCTGCCACCCCACCATGACTACAAAAGTTGAGGGAAAAAACAAAGGTTTCAAAAAAAAAAGGTCACCAGAATGACAAGATAAATAAAAAAAATCAGTCAAAAAGAACAAAATAATCAATAACATCTTCATCTACAACATTTTCAAAAGAAGACTTTAGACCTAACTGTTACATAAGAAAGCATCATGTGTAATTTGTACCCATTAGGTCATATAATATTCCCCCTAGTTCACAAAGAGATAAAAGGGAAAATGAACCCATTTATAATCCTTTTATTGCTTTTTGGGTAAACATAAATCTTTTTACTGCTTAGAAATTACAAGTTAATATGGTGGAGTTAAGATTAACAATTTCACATTTATGATTCATAAAAAATAATTTCAACTTTATGTTTTTAGAAATTTAAATGCATTGTGGATGAACAGAAAGCTTAAGAAAGGGCGCTTTTTGGAGTTTTGCAGCACAAATGTTTTGGAATAGAAAATATAGAAATCAATAAAAAATATGGAAAACGCCACCACAAGCAAAGGAACTTTTCCAAAAATAATAATAACAAAACAAAGGGATGTTCATTCTAAATTACAGATTAGGGCATCCAGAAACAGAAGGGGTCCAAAACAACATGTAGAATGTATGGTAAACATATTAGATTGGAAGAGCAGGCTCCAGAATAATCTGCTCCTGGATCCCCACCCCCACCACTTCTAGCAAAATCATTAGCTACTGCCATCCAGAAGACGATGGCATGATGGCAGACCATAATCTTCATGTCAATAACACTATTTAAGACAGTAATAAATTACGAATCCGCAAATCAGGTAGATGTACAAAAAAAAGAAAGTACACAGGGAACACATGATAAGCAAAACATCATCCCTCTATAAAGTGAACCTAAATCAAAATGGATGAGAGAGTACCAACTAGAATTTGTTCTGCAAGACTCAATCTGAAACTTCTACTATCACTAGACTGAAAAATAATGTTTAATAATAAAAACCATAGGAAAACCTTTATATTTCCTACTTGCTCATGCCAGAATTTCCTGAAGCCTTCAAGCGGATTCCAAGGCTCAACAGGACATACGGATCTCCCACAATCTGAGTTTTTCTCTAATGACTCCCATTCAGAGGAGAAATTGACTGATCCATCATCTACCATTGTTTCCATGGCCAAAAGACTTCCACTGAACAGCAGCAGTGCTACATAAGATTGTAATACTTTTACATACAAATTGTTGATACATTGTGAGATCACAATGCTATTAGCATCATATAATTACCATATGCTTGTAAGCAGTGTTTTAAAAGCGCAAGGTGCAAAAAAAGCACAAGGGCCAATTTGCGCTTGAGGCGCAAGGCGCAAAATTACAAAAAAAAATAAAAATCAGAAGATTCAAAAAAAATGCCAAAAATTTTTAAAATTTGCAAAAAATTCAAAAAATATAAACTTAAATTTTAAAATAAATGTTTTAAAAAAACCTATTATCTAAAATTAAAATACATAAACATAACATGTAAAGCGTATTCAAATGAAAATTTAAAAATAAAAGCAAATATATAAAGCATTTCAAGCATGTAAAACCCATAATCTCTTTTTTTCCTTAATTGCATTGCTTCAAGTAGCTAATGTGATGTAAAACATATTGCATTCTTGATTCTATGAGTCGCCTTTGTACCATGCCCCTCGAGGCAAGCCCGAACAAGTCTATGTTAGGGTCTGAAACTCTTATTTCTCACATAAAAAATAATGATTTTATAACTTTCATTGCGTTTTAAGAAGATAATTTATTGCAATGAATGAATGAACAACATTAGCAAATAAGGGGTTTGCCCAGCCGTTAGACTAAGAAAAAGCAAAAAGCGCAAAATTTTAAAAAGGTGCACGCCTGGGTTGAGGTGCAAGGCGCATCAGGCGCACGCCTAGGCGCACCAGGCGTGTGCCTTTTGAACAGGGTGTGCCTGGAACCTAGGTGAGGCGCATACCCCAAAATGTGTCTCGCCTATGCACCTGCCGCACCTTTTAAATCACTGCTTGTAAGCTGTGAAAAAGTCCAAAAAATGGGAGTTTTCATCTAATACCTAGTAAATTGAAGTTGAGAACTACATTTAGATTTCTTAGTGCACCTTTAAGTCAATTAAAAATAAGAACCAAAAAGAAGCTATTAAGCAAACACCTTAATTAAAAGTACCTTGTCAAATTTCTGAACTTATTTTCTCTCCTTGTTTCCAACTCCTGTAAAAGTGGCAAACGAAATTGAGAAGTTCCAGAGGGAATTCCTTTGGAAAGGCTGGAAGGAGGAGAAGAAGATGCACCTTGTCAACTGGGATCAGATTTGCAAGCTGAGGGAGCAAAGGTGGTTTGGGGATTAAAAGAATCAAGGAGTTCAATGTGGCTTAGAAAAAGGCCGAATCGGTATCTTTCCCTGCATGTTTGTAGCCTTTGCTTAAGGAGTGGTGAGACAGTGGCTCATCTATTTATCTCCTCTCTTTATATTTCTTTAATTTGGGATTGGTTCTCCTCTTTCTTTGGTTGCAGGTGAACTCCATGTGTGCAAAACCTTCTTGAATCTAGCTTCATCTTTTGAACTCTTCCAATTGACAGGCTTGCAGTAATGGCACCATCAATCCAATTTTTAAGCCACCCAATCGCTTCTCCATCCAATATCACAATAGCCCTCTTAAACTGTCTAATCTCTAAAGTATTTGAACCCTTGCTCTTTGTCTCCTCAAACACAAAATATTTTAGCTTCCATCTTCAGACTTCTCCGACATTCCCATGATGTGATCTTTGTTAATGTTCTATCTTTGTTATTGTATGGGAAAGAAAACTGTAAATAGGGTTTTTCTAGTACTGCGAATCCAATTTTTACATAATCTTATTCACGAAAGACAGTTCTGAGAACACTCCCTACCCCACCACACCCTCCACCCAAAAAAAAAGGAAGGGGAAAAATATAAGAGAGGTTTAAACCTCTGAAGAAGGATCAATGATCAAATGCACTAAAAGAAGCATGGCAATGTAGTACCTGGACAAAACAAAAGAGCTTCAAAGAATCATTTCAATATCCTATTGTCAGCTCCCTCATGCTTCCATGAATGAACCAAGGTTTCAAAAGGCTAAAAGCAGAGGCGAAGCAGCTAGGTCTTGGAAAGGCAAAGCATAAGCCTTAAGGCAGTTTGCAGGGTGTGAGCATCGGAAAAATGGCTCACTTGGGCATAAATGGAGTCGCCACCCATCAGTTATATGAAGGGAGGTGATGGGACCTCCGAGAATGATATTCAAACTGTTTTTGTTTAAATAGTGACTCTACACCAGTCCGGGTAAGACTCGGATGGGAGAGGGAAGGGGTTAGGCACCCCCTCCCGGGTCTGAAGGTGGGGCCCACATGGGATCCAAACAATCATAACCACAAAAAGCAAATATTCAAACCATAAAATAAAATAAGACTAATTAATATCAAACAAAGAACAAAACATTATAAAAGAAAATATTCGTTATTTTTTTATTATTTTAATTATTTTTTTATTTAATATTATTTTATTTATATTTTTTTGTTTCTGATTTTTTTTAATTTTCTTTAATAAATTGAAATTTAATTCCTTTTATTGCTATTTTTTTATTAACCTTTTTATTTTTATCATCTTTTTACTTTCTCTTCCCTTTATTTTTATCAATCATATTATTATTTTTTTTATTTTTCTCATGAAATCCTAATGGTTTATTTATTCATTAATTGTTCATTTCTTTTTTTTGTTCTTTTCCTTTTTATTTTATACTATCTTTGCTATTATTATTATCTATTTACTTTGTTTATTCATATTGTTTTTTTTCGTTCCTAATTTATTTTGTTCTCTGTGACGGACTTTCCTTACACTTCAATCCAACCTGAACTAACGACAGATGAATTACCCTCTGTTACATCATAACCCCCTTATATAGTTTTCTTGTTTCTTTTTATTTTATTTTTATTTTTTTACTACATTAACCTTATCCAGGTAACGAGTTCCAGTGACCCGGAGTCTTCCACGGATGGTCACAGTCCATTATCTCTAAACAATCTGATAATTTAGTGCTTCTCCTTTCAATCTTAAGAAATCAATCCCGGCGACTACTTAATTCAAGCGCATGCAAAACAGGGGACATTAAAAAGAAGACAAGAAGAACTAATCCCAGCAGATCTACAAGTAATGAAACAGAACAAATCAGATACTAATACCAGCCTTGTTCTCGTCTAATGCAGCATTCAACAGATCAACAAGGTAGCTGATAGGAAAGTAACAATATGCAAGGGATTCGAAACCTTCGAACCTTCCTAATCGAGCTGACTTTGAATTTCAAATGAAAATAAAAAATAAATGAAATGAACAGTACATTAGCAGCATCATCGGCAATATTATTTCAGGAAGCAACAACCGTCATCAAGCCAACCGAGTTGGAGTTCATTCGACAATGAACTGATTACCAGCTTCGAGAACTTTCACCCCCCCCCCCCATTAATCGAATGCAAAATGGGAAAACAAATCCAGAAATAGGAGAAAAAAAGTAATCACAATACTTACTCGGCTGGAATTTTGGCGTTGATAAGAACGATGTAACAGAGGCTTCGGTAGATTTCGACCTCGGTTCGTTAATCTTTGAGTAGGGACGACTGGAAAATAGGGACCGGGAGATTGATGTGAGGAGGTAACCCTCGAAGTGTGCTCCGCCCGAATCCAATGTGTTGGATCGAAAGATTGGAGAAGAAATACAAACGATTTCTGCTTTCGTGACTGGAGTGGTTCCCTAATGATTTTTGGCCAAATGACGCTTCGACTTCGACTTTGGCCAAATGACGCTGAACCCCTTCACAAACAAAACCCCATAAACCCTATACGGTTAAAACCTAACCAATAAAACCCAGCACTAAAACTAAAATCCCATTGAAATCCCGCAATTCGCTAAACTTTATATATGTAAGCATTTCATTCAATATTTTTGAACAATCAAAATCAATTGATAATTTTCAAAAAAAAAAAAAAAAAAAGTAAATCAGGTCCCACAAATGTCTTCCCAAAAAAGCGCCATTTTCAATATAATATGACCCTTTATCTTATTTTGGGGATATTTTTAAGATGTTTCTTCAATCAACGTGTTCGAGTTCCAATAAAATTCACTTCTCTTTTTATAGTGAACACTTGTGGTTTTATTGATATCCATACACCATAGTTAGCAAGGCGAACGCATCCCGTCTTCATAATACCAGTTCCATAATAAATAACTAGCAGTGACCCTTATTTATTATTAATTAATAATCAAAATTTATTGTTAATTAATTAAAAGTATTCAAAGTTATTGTTAATATCTAAAATTTTAATAATCATATTTTTTATTTAATGTTAATTTATAAAAAATATTTATTATTAATTTAATATGAATAAAAAATTTTAATAAATTTAGTTTTATTAATAACTTGTAATAATTTTAATAATTATTATTATTTTTAAATAAAATTTTGATTAATTTTAAATAAATAAAAATAATTACAAAGCTAACATTTTTATTAATTTCACTAATAATTAACAATTATATAGGAATGACAAAGGGGGTTCATGGTGGGGCACCCCATCCCTGTCTCTACTCTATAGTCAAGACACTTTATCCCATCCCTAGTGTCAGGCGGGTTCAGGGCGAGGCAACCACTCCTCAATGTTGGGCAAGTTCAAGGGCAAGACACCCCACTCCTCGTCAAGAATGGAGAATCTTCGAATTTCCCCGTCCCATCCCTAATATTGGGTGGGTTCAGGTAGAAGTGTAAATTGGGTCATATTGGGCTAGCATGATATGATCCACATGCGGTCCACACTGTGTCGTGCTAACCCATAGGGTGTCTCGGGTCGTGCCTCTCTCTCGTGGGATAATTTGGGGGGTTGGTTCGACACAACCCACGACCTAAGCCCGCACTGGCCCATGCCAAGACGTGGGCTGAGCTAGTCCATGGGTGCCGGCCCGCGGGCCGCCATTTTACACCTCTAGCCAAGCTGTGAGATGTCCATTTTTTAAAAAAGTTGATAAGGATGTTTAAATTTTTATTTCATATGATTTTTGATATATACAATTGTTTATATACAAATTAAACCTATTCATGGGTTAGGTAACCCAAGAGCCCGATCCCACCTAACTTGTTATTTTTCAAACTTGGAGAAAATTTCAAGCCCATGGGCTTGAGCTCGAACTTTCTCAAATAAACCCGGCCTGATACTATTACATTTATAAAAAAAAATACTTATGTTATATATAATAAATAATATATATATATGCTTCTTAAATTATTAATAAATATCAATTTACTATTAGGAAATATAAATTAGTTTATTAATTTATTAAATTATTACTAAATTAATATAATATTGGTTTATAAAAGTATACTGAAAATATGACATTTTGTGTACAAATCGGGCTTCGGGCTTAGGCTCAAGCTTCGAGCTTTATATAAGGGCTAGGCTCAAGCTTGGGCTTGCACATTTTTTGTTGATAAAGAGGCTCGTGTTAATTATAAAACTATGATTTTTTACAAATTAAAATTTTTATTTAATTCTAGTATATTATAAAAAATATATAACATCTATATATATATTAATATAAAATTTGTTATTTAAATATTATATAATAATATTTACCATATATGCATATAACTTCCAAGTTGAGCTTATTAGAGGTTGTTTAGCTTGGGCCCTATCCGCTAAAGCCATCAATGGACTCCAAAAGTTTGATACTCAATTAGACTTTGAATCTGATTATCCCTTATAATGTGTGGGCATGTTGCATATCTCAACTAGACCTAACTCAAAAGAAAATAGTTGCTTGAGCCTACAAATTTATAGATTTAATCGGGTTAGGTTAAGCTATAAACGATTTGTTACTTTTGTATTATTAATTATTAAAATATTATAATTATTAAATTACTATATTTATTTAAAATGCGGTAGTTTTTGGAAATTATCATATTTTCAGAAATATTTCTAATTTCTTGGTCAAAACTAATTAATGTAATTTTCTACTATTTATAGCTTAAATTATAATTATTGTGAATTACATTTAAAAATAATTATTTTTAGATATAATTGGGTTAGGTTAAGTTATTTTTAGACCTAACTCAAAAGAAAATAGTTGTTTGAGCCTTCAAATTTATAGATCTAATCGGGTTAGGTTAAGTTATAAAAGATTTATTACTTTTTATTATTAATTATTAAAATATTGTTAGCTATTAAAATGTTATAATTGTTAAATTACTGTATATTATCATATTTTCAGAAATATTGCCAATTTCTTGGCTAAAACTAATTAAATGTAATTTTCTACTATTTATAGCTTGCTTAAATTATAAGTACTATTAATTATAGTTTAAAAATAATTATTGTTAAATATATTACTATTAATAATTAAAATATGTTTTTTTTTTATTTTAAATATTATTCAGTATTTTTTGCAATAAAATACAATTAATTTAATTTTTAATTATTTTTAGTATTTTAATTAAGCTGTAGATTTTTCAGGAATTTTGGATTTTTAAATAATTTTTGGTGTTTTTCATTATTATTTAGTAATTTTTGCATATGAGCATTTTTTAATAATTTTCACTATTTATTTTTGCATATTAGTCACTACAAAATAATTTTGTATTTGCTTTCAATAAAAATAAATTAAATAACTAAATAAATACCATAGTTAATAAAAAAATACATGTAATTTTAGATATTTTTTAGAAATTTATAGCTTGGGTATTTTTTAATAAATTTTGTTACTTCTTAATAATAAAATACTGGTTATGGAGGTTGGGGCTATAAAAGTACCGAGTGAATTTTGGTACTTTTAAAATTTCTGGCTTGACCAATAAAATTTGCTCGTGATTTTGATCACCATTTATTATTGGTGGATGTGCAAAGCTGAATTGGCCTAACCACATGGAAACATTAGGTAAGGTCAAGGTAGCCCTAATTACTATTTCACAAGTTTGAATGTTAAGGACCATTATGACAAATTTAATTTTAAGAGCTAGACAAAGTCAGATAGGGTAGGGGCAACTAGAACTGTGATTTTGTAGCTTCAATTATGGTGATTTTGATAGGACATATAGGCATCGTCGTGTTTTAGGGGTCGGTGTGGAAATCCATTTAACAAATGACAGGATTGGTCTTGACACCTACACATGTTGCTTACTACTTGTCAACTTACTATTAGTTGTTGTTTAATAGTATATTATGATGTAAAATCAAGTCATAAAGCTTTCTCAGAACATCTCCCATCAAGAAAAATGTGAATTAGGAGATAATATGGCGCAAAAAAACACCATCACATTTCAAATATTCATGTGAAAAGCTTCCATTCTTGCTAATTAAACTTAGAAAATTGTCATGGAAACATCTATTTTTCTAATAGGTCAGATTGGTATATACCCTGAGGACCTCCAGGACCTGCATTCTAATAATTTTCATAGCTCAATGGCTCACTAAGAAATTGGCCAAGATGAAAAAGAAGATTATGTTAGTTTATTTTTCATCATATTTGGGTTAAATGTGTGATAATAAATGCAAAGATTGCTAGTGCACTAGCAAGTCTTGCATCCTAGACATCTCCTTGATAGAGCTAACTCATGTATGTTAAAAACAAACGACGAAACCAGGTCCAACACTAGCCTACAATTTGTGCATCCTCACAATGCTAATGGTTATCTATTATATGTTGATGGATCCTTCTCACCAATCATAGCCTATGCAACAACAGGATTTAATGATTATGACAGATAAATGTAATGTGGTTGCAGCCAGCAAAAGAGTTCAAGCTTTTGGAAGTCTCCAGGTAGAATGGTGGGTCCTCCATGATGGTTTGATGATGGCAAGAAAATGTGGAATCAAATCTCTAGTACTTTTTTTCTGACTCAATGATACCCGAAAATCCGAGGCCCGATTTGACATGCGATCCAATTATCTTGGATTCGAGTAATGTAATCGGATCATATTTGGATTTGACCCAATTTGATCTGATTAAAATCCGAATGTGATTCTATTATAATATTTATTAATTTTAATACATAAATTTATAATTATATTTAAAATTATAAAATATATTTTATATATTGTCTTATTATCTATCTCATGTAGAGAAGTTGCGAAAGATAGGGGAATGGAAGCCATCTCCAATTTTAGGACCAAGGTTTATGAAAGGGGATTTGGAAATTGGATTATCATCCCAAGATTAGAGATTTTATGTGGAGAGTGGTGCAGGGAGCCTTAACAACTACGGTTAACCTAAGAATGAGGGGAATTAATGCAGACGATTCTTATCCCACTTGCCCAAGAGAGCAAGAAACAAAGGACTATGTTTTTTGCATTGCCAATTAGCCAAGGCAATCTAGTTTGTATTAGATGTGGCTCTGAGATCAAAGGGAGTTCTTGTTCCCTTAAGGCTATGTTTGGTTTAAAGGAAAAAATAGGGAAAGATAGGGAAATCAATACAAGGTTTGTAAAGGTTTCCCTTCTTTTCCCTACATTTTCCTTCAAACCAAACATAGCTTAAGGGATTGGATGATGCGATAGCTAAACTCTAGGGGGGGGGGGGGAGGATGAGGAAAGGGTTAGCTACATGGTTATGGTTTGATGGAATCTATGGTTGGCCAGAAATAAAGCTATTTCAGTTAGGGGTGTTAATTGGACTAGATTTGGTCCGATCCGATCCAGTCCAACATGAGCCCATTATAAATGGACCAGGTCCAATGCAATTCAATGAATGTTTTGGAATAATTTGGACCAGTCCAGTTCAATGTTTGGACCATCTAATCTGTTCAAGTTCATTTTGATTTAAATTGGTTTCAACCCAGACCTAGTACATT